TTATTTTACTGTTTACGATTTTCAACGATAAAAAATCAGGATGAAATCTATTAAAATCAGATAAGTCGATCAACAGGCAGGTCGATAACAAATGAAGAATTGATCTACGGGTTGATGAGTCGAAGCGAAAAATTGTATTATAGATATATTTATAACTTTTTACTGTTTATTTTTGTAGCAAGTTTATTTTAGGGTATCAATTTGACAAACCTAGGTCTTACACCATAACTGACTATAGCAGCACTTCCCAAAGTTTTGTATTCACATATAGACAATATGATCATTACACTTATAAAAATGTTAATTATCTAAATTGGACCAAATATAGATTCTTGTAAGTTTAAAATGTGAAGTGCATATAACCTAGAGAAATAACCTATTTTGTGGAATAAAGGCTCCGGAAATTTATTTTTACCTGGATACAAATAGGAGATACAGTCTTCCTCCTCTATAATCACGCAGTTTGTATCAAGAAAATTGGTGATTATAAAAGATTATATTAAAGTTTTTTTTATGTTTTTTAATAAATTGTCTCAAAAATTAATGTGATTGTATAGGAGTTGTGATTATATAGGAGGTGATTATAGAGGAGTAAGACTGTACTAAAGTTGTTACTATGCAAGAGAGTGTATATTGCTAGTAGTTAAAAATATAGATGCTCTAAAACATATTAGCATATTGAATTACGATTAATAACTAATTAAAACTATTCAGAAATATTATGCTTAGAGTGTACTTTATTCCTCAAGATATGCTATATTTTAATTTCTTTGGATATTAATAATTCTCATATTAACAGGCAAAGTAATGGCACTGTTACGCCAATATCAAATGGATCTATCAAGCCAGGAAATGGATTTGATTTAACACACCATGATGCATTTACTACTATCGATGGTCAACATGTAATTGTCTATCAATGTTTAAACAATAATCCCAATATAGCTCCGTTTGGGACGAATTTTTCAGATTTTTCTTTATTTTATAATTATAATGCACCCCGATACTTAATGTATGCTCAACTTATAAAAAAAGACGACCAATCTGAGGAATTTTTATTATACATAAGTTACGATGTTGCAATAACTTCTGATGGGCCGGGCGAAATCACATGCAAACCCTGGTTTCATTCACTCAATTTTCAAAGCAATATTTGCAGTTATATTGAAAGTGCAGAATACCAAACATCAAAATACACTAAATTCATGAAATTCATAAAATTTTCATCATCCGGATCAGTTATTGGCGTAGACACTCTTAATGTAAGCGACGAACTTAGCTACCGCCAAAAAATGCAAAAAAACTTAACCATTCCGTTGCCATATGGTGGTGCAATTGTATTTTACACTGACTCTAGCCCTTCCAAACCATTGCCAAACATGCCAAACAATACATTCAAAGTGCTAACATTTGATTTAGATACTATGGTCAATGGTTATTTATTGTATAATAATACTTCAAATACTTTAAGGTTGGATTTGGGAGACTATGGTGTTTTTAGTGATAATACTATATGGTTTATACAGAAAAATTCGGCCTATAGTAACAATGGAGATAAGTCAAATGTAAAGCTAATTATAATTAAAGTTAAACATAAGGACTGTGAGTATTTAATTTCTAACTTTATAATACTTTCTAATATAATATGCTATAATACATATATATATAATCTTTTTTTTTATTAGCTGGTTATGAAAATCCTGCAATCATATCTTCATATCCAACAATAAATACGATGATATCTGTATTTTTTAATACTTCCATCGATATCTCTTTTTCGTTTCCGATCATTGTATCTTCTGGAAATATTTCTGTTTTTCAAGTTGTCAATCGAGATACTCTCTTATTACGTCAATCATATTCTGCTTCTTCGTATTGTAATGTATATAATCGTACAACCCTATCATGTAAAAAAATCCTACTTAGCACATTTAATCGGGTTAATAGCAATTATCTCATTATTGCTAACGACGATTTTGTGAGAACATCAATGTATCATGAGCCAGTACTCGGAATTAAAAAGGGTATTTGGAATGTGACGATGGGACGTGAGTATTACAGTTAACATGCAAGATTTACTAAGGTTGAAAAAAATTTTAGTTACTTATTATTTCATGCTAATTAAAATGTTAGAACGAGAGAATGATTCTAAAATTTCAGGTATAAATTTTTACGAAGTACTACATCATTACTAATATGCTTTCTGGCCACATTCATAATTTTTGGTTTGTTTTGCAGAATCAACAGAAGCCCTTTTACGTTTAAACCATGATGGTGCTTCCTATTTTTCAAGTAATCAGTCACAATTGCTTGATGATTTGCTACAGCAAATAAAAGATTGCATTCCTTTAATGAATGATCAATTGAAAATAACACACAATGTTCAATCAGACCCCTCAGATCCCTTCATGCTTCTAATCGAATTTTCTATTGATAAAGCAGCTGATCCTAGAGTGGTTGATGATTTAGATATTATCATAAAGTCCAAATACATTAGTGCTCTTTCTGATAAACCATTCATGACATTTATTGATGAACAATATGGATTCCAAGTCAAACGTTTCATATAAATATCTAGCATTTTTGATTTTACTTTGATACGTATTTTTAATGTTTAATTTCATATTTTATATAATTATATACATTATATTAGCAAATTTATGGGTCGAAATTAGATATAAGTTGCTTGCTTTAGCAATTTTTGCATTTGTGATTATTATAATATATGCTTTAGCCCGAAAACGTAACCCAAAGGTATGAAAATATTAGTAATTTATTTTTATTAATTTGCTTATTTTTTAATTTATATGTTTGAATTTATAGTGTCAAAATTTTATTATAGTTAAATTATTTTTAATAATTTTAGACATTTTTTTGGACGTCCTTTTCGTAATTAATAATGGGCATGATGTTCCATCTTTATTTATTCCTTGGTATGTTAAATTTAAACTATGGTTATTTTATTTTATTTTATTTTATTTTATTTATTAACTAATTATCAATAATTTAGTTTGGTTTTTTTAATAGTACCAATATTATTTAATTTTGTTCTATCATTTTTCTTGATTGCAAGAGAAATTTTGCTTAATAAAAATTTTCAAAATTGGTTTTCTACTTATAGCAAAGTTGCTTCTATCTTTACAATAATTGCTAGTTCTGATATAGAAATATTACATATTTTGGACTCAAATTTTGCTGGATTCGACTGTTTTTCTGCAAAATTATCTGATAATACCAACAAAATAATTTTTTATGGATCTATAGTTAATACGTTTATTGAAGATATTCCGAATCTAATTATTCAGGTACAAACATTTTTAAATACTTTTTAAATATTAAGTCTGGTTTCTATTAATACAAAATATTTTACCTTTTATTGTAGATAATTTATTATAATAGAGTAATTTTATATACAATTATACCAACATTTACATTAATTACATCTTTATTAATTATTGTTATGAATATTTTGTCAAATATATATCGTTATTGGAATATCTATAATGAAAAAAAGAAAATCATTTATTCAAATTTGTAAATTATTATGTTTAATGATTATTATTAATATATATTAATAAATTATTTAATTCCTTATATAAAAGATACAGATCATAAATGGGGTCTTTGCTAGAAAAATGGCCCTCTGGGGCTATGTTGATTTTGTGAATCCAATTAAATTTGCCAGTCATCTATTTATCCAATTTTAATGAATTTTTTATTATTTTGTAGACCCTGCAAAATAAAAAAGGTCTATTCAAATTGAATAACTAGATGGCTGGCAAATTTAATTTATTTACAAGATCAACATAGCCACGGAGGGTCATTTTCCTAGAAAAGATCCCATATAATAATAATACATGTGTATACGTATAGTACGTTGTAACTACCTATTTGATATAAATGATTTTACTTATACTGAAATCCAATGATATTTAACAAAATTTAAGATAAGTATATGCGTGAATTCAAGAAATTGTGTTACAATTAGGATAGAATTCTTTATTTAATTTTTTGTTATTAGGCTCGATTTATATTTGATAAAAACTTCAACAACGTTTTATGAGAAAACAATATTTAACGTATACTAAATTCGGATCTTTATTAAGATAAGTAAAACATAGAAAAATGAGATAATACTAATAATACTAACTAAAATTTATACTATTGTGATTATCTAGGTATATTACTACAAAGGTCATCAAAAGGAAAGTAGTTTTTTATCCTAAGGAAGTTCGACCGTCCTTTCGTTGCTCAGGAAAGCATTCCTTATATACAATTTTCATTAACTTGATAGTTCAAAACTTTTACTTAATAATTTTTAACTTTACATCCATTAGTTTTTAACTTTTGTGTATTAGTTACTAACTTTTATCTTTTTATTTTAGTTATTAACTCTTCTACCGGTTATTATCCAACTTTAATAGTTCGAAACTATCGGCAAATCCAATTTTGGAACCCTCAATCGATGTGGATTTTGATTGGCTATGAGCGACGATCAATAATTTAGGCCAAAATTACTCAAAAATTTACTAATGAAACCACAGCCGCAAATTAAGTGAAAAATATTCCTGGGCTAATTTTGCCATTAAGCGGGCCTATTTCACTAAGAATTTCCATTTTGGGAATGAAAAAGTTAAAAAGTTAATTCCGGCCAAAAATTATGTAAACAATTATGTAATG